TTAAATACATACAAGTTGTGTTTGGCTTTTTGTGCTACTATTTGAAGCGGGATAGTCTTTGTATGGCGTCACATTAGAATTATTGTGGTTCGATGTATTTGTAGTAGTTCTCATTTTAATATCTGAACAAATGTAATAAACATTGAAAAATAATTTTTTAGTGTTTAATAATAAACATTTYATACCACCATTAGAAGTATCTTTAATAAATAATTCGGTTTCGTCTCTATCATCATCTGGAGCATCTAATAATGGAGTAAATGCATATCTGTGTAACAAAACAAGTTTTGGATATTAATTATTATAATATATTAATTAATATAAAAAAAAAAACTAAATTTTAACCTTTGATTGTTATTTGTTGGTCTCCAGAGTATCATAATCACAAGTAAAATTATAGAAAACTCAATATGCCAGAATGCATCGTCTAGCCACTGTTCCTTCCAATTCTATAAATATGAATATTTAAAAAAATATTAATGTTTATTAAATAATCAAATAAATTTTTATATTAACTTACACCACCACAATCTGACAATCGTTGTGTTTTTATAGAATACAACATGAACAAAGTTGAAGTCACAACTGTGAAACCAAGAACATTGGTAAAATGTGTATAYAATTGGAGTTTCACTGCATTCCTTAAAATAAATTGAAATGTATAAATAAAAAAGTCTACACATAAAATGAAAATTGTTTATAATATACTCAGTTGTCAATATGTCAATTAAATTCTAATTAGAAGTTCAATCTTTGTCCTGACATAACAAATTTGTCTTAGTAAACATCATAAACCATGCAACAATGTCATAGTCTTGTCTTTGTATTTGACAAAAATAATATATACAATATACAGGAGAAATATTTATTTAATACCTCCGAAGTCTTAAGGCCCTAGTTGTTTGAGTTAGGGCAGCAAATATCCAACATACAATTCCAGAATCTAAAGCAGCTAATGGCAATTCAACTAATAAAATCTCTGCACTCATGTTACTTGACAAACGAAAATAGGATTCCATTAAAGACATAGCTAAGTATAAAGAACTGACTCCTAAAACCTTTGGTAAAAGTGGTCCTAATCTGGGCCTAAATAATAACATGTATTTATAAGTAATCAAACATTATTATAATAAATAATTATTTTATCAAATACTTACTTTACTATACCAAACCCTAAGCTTACTATGATAACTAAAGTCCGTGCAAGTGTTCTTTTTAAGCAAGAAATCACTTCAGCCATGGTCATTACTCCATAAATATTATCTAAATGTCCAGTTAGGTTTAATTCATGATATTCAGCATAAAAGGCTGCTTTTTCAACCATTCCTGAAATGTAAAAGTTGGTAAATATTTGTATATTTTGGATTTATAATTATTGCATTTATTTACCTAAAAGAATGACAGCTCCAATCCAAAATTGTATTTGAAGTAAATCCCTCCATTGCATAAATAATAAAACCAACCACGTTATACCAAAAAATATGTAAACGAAACACATGAATCCATAAAACTAGAAGAATGTTAAATTTGAATAAAATTGTATTCATGTACATTGTACAATGTAATTTGTTAAAATGAATTACATGTAGTAATGGCCAATTTGTAGCTGATAAATAGCCATGTGGTCCTTTCATTGAAATTTCTATATTGGCATTAAATTTGTCATCTAATTTAACATATCTGGTATCTTGTTTAACTGTTGCTGTTAATAAGTAAACTCCATCTTTTAAAACAGTATAAACTCGATGATTGGATCTCTAATTGTGAAATAAAACAAAAAAATTGTCTTTACACTTAAATTTAATATGATAAAAATTACTTACTTGGCTAAGTACTTTATTATTAGTTTTATTAGTCTCATATAACGATAAATCATCCTATAATAAAAAAAAATTAAAAAATTGTACAAATAATTTACTGAAATATCATTTTTAATAAGCATAAATACCAAATCTACTCCACTGGCACAAGAGTATATTTTTTCTGCGGATCTTGCATGGTTCACGTATGTATTATTGGTATTAAAATCGTGTTTAATATCTTCTATTTGGAGTTTTCTTATAAGCTGAAAAAAATAATTCCAAATGTAGATAATAAGTTGTTATAAATTAAAAAAATAGAACTTACATTTTGGCCAAGGTTTAAGTAATCATTCCAGCACTGGGGTTCTGTCAGGATCCAATCGACAGAGACATTGTACACATCACTACAACTGACTATAACACAAATCAAAATTAGAATAATTGATTTGTGAGTCAATAATACATCAGTAAATCGACATAATATGAATAAATTTACTTTTAATTGATATTTCTGTGCCTTTAAATAGGCTGCTGGTACAAAACTGTATATAATGGTCCTAAAAAAAAAAAATTAATGTATCGTCAACTTATAGAAACGCCAAGCACGTTGGCATAATTAACACCTCACATTATCCATAACGGAGGACCATGATCCTTCACCAGGTCTCACGGCGTGACACGTAAACGCTATGAAAGTACAATACAACAAATAGATTGGGACATTTGACAACATTGAAAGAAAGTCAAATGTACAAAATTTTGTAATAGAATTCCTTATCGATTAAAGTAAAATAAATTCTACACTACGTTGGTCGTTCAAAAACAGAAACTCGGCAATTCGSCATTCGGCATCATCAATATTCTAAAATGTTTAAAAACATTATGTAAATAAAATTATATATCTTATCACTGTTGATACTTATTCAGTGATAACGGTGTTATATCTTAATAACTTATTAGCCAATAGAAATTCAGGATATTTCCCGCCATATATTTAAACCACTATTTAGAAAAGAAATTCCTCTACCTCGTGATTTAAACAAATCTCAAGATAAATAATATTGGATTGAAATTCAAAATTATTAAACATATGATAATGAACTTGGCAAGTATCTTACCTTTAGGCTTGACAATAGGTCAATTCAACTTATTATCGGAGCTAACAACACAAAATCGGAATTGCTGAATACAAATTTGTTATGTTTTTCTCTATTTAATGAGACTGAGCGTAGTGCGTAACCACGATTTAAGATGTATAAATATAAATAATATAATATCTTAAATAGTAGTGGTAACGGTAACTCTACAGTAAGAATTTTAATTTTTATTGTACCTTTAATTTTAGATTCTGAGCGGAGCGAGGAATGTATTGGTTTTACAATGATGTTTATTTCTTTTTCTTTATCTTTTTTATTCTGTAAACACTTTTTCTACTTCTAATTTAGTAACTTACTGTACAGCAGAGCGATATTCATTTTCCTGCTTTTTATATATATATATATAAATTAAACAGGTGTCCCGTGAGGATTTACCCATTGTGATATCTCCCGAAATAATGTAGATATCAAAATTCTGGTTTTGTAATAAGACTCGTAGGATAAGAACTACAATTATTTCATATTTTAATTTATTTTAATGTTTCGGTAAAAAGTCTAAAAGATATTTTTTTATCTTTTTCATTTCCAACAAAATTGACTATAATAGCCATTTTGTAGTTTATTTTTTATTTTTTGAAAATATCGACGTTTCAACATTTWATKTTCATTAATTTCCTGATTTTTAATTATTTTTAGTTTCGAGAAAAATTGCGAACTATTTGTCTATTTAACACCCTAGTGTTATCGAATCTAGAAATAAAAGTCGCTGCTATATCTTCGTCTCATCGGCTGACACTTCCAGTGTCATTTWTTTTATGAGGTTCCAAATAGAAGGATGCTTCTTGTGCTTCTTCGAGCATAATTTTTTTACGTAAATGAGACAATCCTTTTAATATATCAGATACCGGCAAAAAAGCCAAACTATCGACTTGTCCACAAAATAACATAAATTCTTCATTTTCACGGTACAAATTTTCCAAACCAAATTGCTGGATTTTCCTATGGGTGCTTTGCTTAACCTTTAATTTCTATATGTTCCCCACAAAACATTACCAATAGCTTGAATAACGGCTTTCTCAAAATCGAATTAAATAAGATTATTTTTACTCGCTTAGTGACTTGTGGTTGGGTTGTCATCAATAAATTGTAAAACCTCTCAATGAGAGAGAGAAGAAGGGAGACCCAGAGGGCTAAAGCAAAAAATAACTACGCATATTTAACGTCTATTTTCGTTTAATATTATTTATTATTATAATTATTTTCGTAATCTAATTTTCATTTGCCTTTTTTTCCGTTTGCTTTTTTTTCAGTTGCCTTTTTTTCCTACCAGTGTTATCAAACATGTGATCTGCCCCGCCAAACGTGTTCTCGTACAGCCGGCCGAACACTTTCAGTGTGCCTATATAATATAGTTACAATCATATTTTATTTCTTCAAAACTAGAAAAAATATAAAAAATCAGGAAATTAATGAAAATACAATTTTGAAACGTCAATATTTTCAGAAAAATAAACTCTACAAAATGGCTGTATTTATTTTTTTTTGGAAATAATTAAATAAATAAAAAATATAATTTTAATTTTTTTACCAAAACATTAGAATAAATTAAAAAATTGTAGTTCTTATATCCCTGTGAGTCTAATTATAAAACCAGAATTTTGATATCTCCATTATTTCGTCGGTGAAGGTGAGTTGATTCCCAAGACCTATTTTATGTATTAGTTGATTCCTGAGTCATTAAGAGGKACGTACAAGTTGATTCCCTATTGTTGTATATTAATTATCAAAATAGATTGCATAATTAAAGAATTTATAACCGAAAAGAGTTYGACCGTCACACACAACTCGCTCTTGTCCACCGAGACCAGATTCTATTAGAATTGAAGAGTTTATGGACTATGTATTTGATAATTATATTTCCCCAGAAGCAAGTTTTCCACCAAGTATATGGGCTCAATTTTCAACTACTTTAAATAAACAGACAATTTAAACAAACAGCTGACGGAGTTTTTATTCTAAACTCAACAGTTGTTTTTATAGTGGGCACC